CTAAAATATAATCAGGGCTCTGTCCACTCTTCAACAATGCTTTCAATTCTTCAGGTGTTAAAAACAACGATTCACCTCCTAAAGATCTTGATGACATGGATCCAATACTAGAAGACCGACCAGATCTAGACTTTGACAGTCTTCTTTCTCTTACCTGTTTAATTGTGAGCCATTCAGGGTCTCTCATTAATGCACCACATACGCACATATTCAATAAAGTACCAGCGAGTAGAACAACCGTATTCCTCCAATCGTAAGCTTCCAGTAAATAATGCGTTAGAGGAGAATAGATTAATGTCCCAAAACCGATCCCACAGGAAGCTAAAGAAACTGCAAGGTTCCTTCGTTTATCAAACCAAAAAGCAACTGCGACAACAGCTGTTACGTATAAAATACCCATCGCTAGGCCACTTAAAAAACCAAACGTCAAACATAACATTTCAACAGAGTTACTGATTGATGCCAACAAGAAGCCTACAGTAGAAAGTAAACCAGCTATCATAGTCATAGTTCGACAACCATATCTGTCGACTAACGCACTCATAATAGGTCCAGCAAGCAACGGAGTCGCGATAAACAAACTGCCTATTAAAGATGTTTTCGATTGCGTAGTCTCGAAGTAAGTAGTGAATTCCTCGTGTAGTAAACCGAAGGAGAATGCTAAACCATCAGCACAGGCTGAGATTAGAAAAGCAGCGACAACAACCACCCATCCCCAACCACCATCCGGTATTGGAGGTAATTTCTTTGTATCGACAGAGTAAATGCTGTCAACATCATCTAAACCTTCAAATTTAACTCTATCAACCATCGATTCCTCATCTCTTGTGTAATGTGCAACTATTTCGTCTTTGTTTTCTGATTTCAATGAATTAATTTTATCTAAATCTGTACTGTTCTTATGTTCTTTGTTTTCATTCGTCACGTTTATTTTGTTATTTTCCATTTTAGATTTTATAGGATTTTTCTATCATAGCTTTGACACGGATTTATTTCTGCAAAAGAGAAAATAAATAAAATTGAAGACTGAATTTTTATAGAAGACGCTATGCCGCCCTCTCGTACAACAGTTCTGATAGTTGGTTGCTTATTTTCAATTTTTGTGTTTATATCTTTGTAAAATTTAAAATTAACAAAATTTAACTATGTAGGTACTATTATTAATTTGCATATTTCTCTAAAAATTATTTTGTTTATTTTTAATTTTATAAGATACCTTTAAAACCGCGGATATATTAATTAAGGTAATATTATTATAAATAAAGCATAAACATAGTATACGGTCAAATTTTCCTTGTATAATAAATCTCAAGAAGAACGTGTCTCAATGTGTTTAAAATCGCTAGAAAAATGTTCAAATTATAAAAATAAAAAGTATAAAAAAACTCGGTACTAAAAAAAAATTTTTTACAGAACTATTTTAATGATAACTATGCATTGCCAGTATTGCGCGAGTAGATGCAAATCCTTATTGGAAACCACAGATAATGCTATATTGGAAACGCACTGTATTTACTATTGGAATCGATCGCTTGTAAAAGAATGTCGCCTTGTAAGGACGCAGTGAACGTATTGGAAATCTATTGCACTTAAACCATAAAGGATTCAAAGACCTTGAACAAAAATATATTAATTTTCTAGTTAATTTATATGCCCACGACATCGTCCGCGTATTATTAAAAAAAGTAAGTAGCCTATGTGTTCTTCCAGAGTCTGCTCTACATCTATGCCCATTGAGATCCGAACAGCCCGTTTACTAAAATGAATATGAAAAATAATTGAATAAAGCCGATTTTATAATCAATTTCATTTACAGTACACAATTCGTCACTTTTGTAAAATATTCAACTTGAATATTTGCATAATTTAAGAAACGCAACGCATTATTAATAGTAACAAATACAATAAAAAAATAACTATCCGAATAATTAAGCTATATCACTATAAATTGAAGAGAAACTAATTTTTTTAATTAAAATGATTAACACATTATCATATGTCCCTCCTACGCACCTATGCTCCCATTTAGTAAATTAAAAAAAACAAATACAATTTGTATGACACTAACACAATGTTTTAATCACAACTTACCTAATACTAAGCGTACTATTCTTTTAATATAAATTCTTATCTGTTAAATGAAAAAGTAAACAACAAAACACGATTTCCTTCAAAACAAACTACATATTGAAAACATACGTGTGTTCACCACCACGCGTCGTGTCAAACTAAAAATTGATATGTAGATATTAGGATATTCGTCTGATGACTCATTTTTAGGCTAACTAAATGTCACATGCTTGGTAACAGTCCACTAAAGCTAACAGGAATTTAGGATTACATATGCGACGCAGTTAACTGTTACCCCAACGAATAAATAATTGTAAAAGTAGCTTAGTGTAGCCTATGCACATTCCCTTTTTAACAACGATAAATCGGAGAAGAATAATGCAGTTCCGACAGGTAACTCTTTATTAGAAAGTTTCGATTTTACTGGCGATAATCAAGCTATTAACGACTTTTGGGTGAAGGGGTGCAGTGTAGCTAAGTATAAATAAGATTAAAGTATAGCAAGGTGCGTGCAATATCATTGATATCCCCATCGAATCCCTCTTATAACATTGCGTTATGTTAAGCTGTTAAGCTTTTAAACTGAAACTAATTTCAGTTAAGTTCTGGCAGTTTGGTCAAAGGAAAGCTTGCAAAAGAAAATCTTTTCATTTTTTGCTTCTCTATTGCCAGCAGAACAGAAATGCTGAAAAAAAACTAATATTTGGATTTTCCTCTAATTCTTTTCTATCTTTTTTAATTATTGCTAAAATAATTAGCCTTTTAAAATAAATTTGTTTATTAACTTTAAAATCTCATAAAAAGGAAAAATTTTGGGAAAGATCAAATGAAAAAGAAAAATTTTGGATCTCGCATAATGTGTTTGTAATTGCAGCTTGCAACACTGAGAGAAATGTCAAACTTTGTCAACCCAAGCCCAAGCTGCGTTTGTTTCAATAAAGAATAAAACTACTTTTATAAATAAAAGTTTTAAAACACAACGAAAAATGGCTGATAAGCCGCCAGAAGAAGGGTACATATCAGTAGTTGATGATGAACCGGAAATATTTGAGCTGCTAAAGTGGGATACATCGCAAACACACAAACAACATGAGACAAACACTTTGGAAAAAGCAAAAACTCCGGAGAAAAAACTTCCCAAGGCGAAAGAGGATGTCGATCCGTTTGATTTGACTGATCCCGCGTTTATTGAAACTTATCGTCTCTCTAAAGATTTAGCGCGCGGACTCTGCGAGGAGCTAAAACCCGTTATGCCGGATTCTACCAAGTCTATAGAGTTTTCTGTAGAATGCAAAGTATGTATAACTTACACTTTGTTAGAAATATATTAAATTATAAAATTTAAAACAAGTTAAAGAAAGCAAAAATTAAAGACGATTAAAATTGATTAACAATTTATTTTGAATAAATAATTAAATAACACAATCAAACTTTGCCAAAAGTTCGACTTTTAAAAAATAGTTTTTCGCTCAAATAATTTAAATGTTGAATTATTGCCTCTTGTATAGTTTAAAAATAAAAAAAGGTGAAATCTGATCATAATTAAAATAAAAATAATTTCTATTACCAGGTTATGGCAGCTCTTACATTCTATGCATCAGGAAAATATCAAAAGTCAGTGGCTGGGAAGACAGACCCGAGTATTACTCAGTACTTTGTATCCACAGCTGTGATGCAAGTCACAGAGGCTATGAACCATCCGTCCATTGTGAAGAAATACATCCACTTTCCGCATCTCAGAAATGAGAGAGATATTATTAAGACCAAGTACTTACTTTTATATTTCTTATCTTTATGTTACTTTAAGTTTTCTTGGTTCAGGGGTTTAAGCACTTGACTTGTATTCTACAGGTCTTAAGTTTGCATGTATGTACCAATGTGATTTTCGATTTTCAAATTTCATATGTATTAATTTACCCAATGTTCTTACAATGAAGCAAAACATTGTGATGCCTGTACATATTGACAAAGAAATTCAAAGATATATGTGAAGTCCCGCAGGGCAGGTTGACTACAGCCTAGTAACCTCTAACTTAGAGTAGGCTCTGAGCCCCTCAGTTGGGACTTATGATGAGCTGGGCATGATGTTTGTACTGTGCTTATTATGCAGTCATATTAATTGAAGATTTGAACTATTTTTCTAGTTTCTACATAAAGTATGGAATGCCAAATGTAGTTGGCTGTGTAGACTGCACTCATGTTCCAATCTCCCGACCCGAGGATGACCACAAGAAGCACTTTAATAAGTCTTTCCACTCTAAGAAGGTGCAGATTGTAAGTATAATTTTAGATTTTTCTATGAGTTTATTTGGTGATTCTCTAATTTTTGTTGTCATTAATAAATACTTACAGCTTTACAAGTAAATAAAATTAAAAAAATAAAATAAAAATAAAGCACTATTTATTGACCAAAAGAAAATTAATAGAACACAACTTAAAATTATTACTGAAATAAAAATAAAGATACAAACTCTTGGTCAAAAGGGGAAGGCTCAGCTGATGCGGCCTCCAGCTTGTCACTGAAGGCCGTGCTGGTTTTCAGCCTTAAATGTGGTATAAAGTTAAACTTAGGAATAAAATATAAGCAACTATTATTACTTTGCTAATACTCAGTTTATTCCTAAGTTTGAATTTATACCATATTCATTTGTAACACTTTTGACATTGGATAATTACCATTACTATAACAATCTTGTTTTGCTCCTTTTAGCTTCTAGTGTTGTCCCTTTCCTCCTCGATGATTATTTCCATTTGTACTATTGTAACTTATTAGTTAGAGTGAAGATATTTAAAAAAAATAAGACTGGATTATTAAAAAATATACAGTTATTGACATCCTATGTAACAAAGTGTTTATGTTTTATTACAGTAGAACCTTGATAAGTTAAAGTTATAGAGGTTTTAAGTTATCAAGGGTCTATGTTGTAGAAGTTTTGAGCTCTGATGGGAAGGGAACATATTATTTTTTGAAGTTATAAGGGTTTTTAAGTTACCGAGGTTCTACTGTATATTAGTTTATAAGATGAAGTTTGATGATTTCTTCTTTTACAGATCTGTGATAGTAATTTAAACATAATAAGCGTTGAAGGTAAACTTGGAGGGTCATACTCACACGACGCCATTTTAAACCAGCATGCAGTCAGAATAGACTTGGAGAGTTTGAATAATTCCGGAGAACAGTGCTGGCTTGTTGGTAAATATTATTTTTAAAGTTATTTAATATGTAATTGTCCATTAGTTAAGCCTTTTAGCATTGTTTTAACCTCCACCTCCTTTTGGTGATGTATGTTATTTTAGATTATCTCAGTATCAAAATTAACCTATGATAGAGTAGCTTTTGTTAGTACAAGTTAATATATACATTTTTAATTATCTTTTTTATTATTTTCTTTTGCATCTTCCATTAATTAAAAATACCTTAACAAATGTTTATTTATGACATAGTTTTTGTTAATTCAATTGAATTTTAAATTCTCAGGTAGTCCTCATTATTCTCAAAAGCCATACCTCATGACGCCTATTCCTAAAATCACAAAAAAATCCCCCGTGTCTCCGGAGAAGTATTACACAAATGTCCACAGTCAGACACACCAAGTTGTGACAGATACCATCAAACATTTAAAATCAAGATGGAAATGTCTTCAAGCAACATGCAATAAACAATTTGACCCACAAACTGTTACTAAATTGATCGTCGCTTGCAGTATATTACATAATATAGCAAATAAAAGAGGATTACCAGTTGTCCCGATGACTCAAGCTGAAGAAAGACTGGAAGCTATGAAACAGAAGGTTGCAAACACACCGATATCAAGGAAACGTGTGGAAGATCCAATCGGAGTGCAAGCTAGAGCTATGTTAGTCGATAGATTGTGGAATGAAAGAAGGATAGCTCCGGAAACTTGTACAAATGGACCGAAGAAACGACAGAAGAAGGATAAAGTGGAACAGATGCCGGTGATGGCACATCCACAAATGATGCAGATGCATGAAGATCCGAGCAAACGACCGAGGATTGTGATGAATAATCCAAGTTATGGCTTTGGAATGGCTTCCGGATGGGGACACTACCCTCAACATTAGTAGTGACCAATAAGGGTCTGTTTACACTGGGGTAAGAAAGCAGAATTTAATTGCAAATAAATTTACAATATTTATAATGGTTTAATTTTAAATTTAAGTATAAATTTCAATATTGTTTGTAATAAATATGCTCTGGTCTAACCTCCAGTGTGAATGGATCCTTACAGGGTAGACAGAATTAGAAATTCATACACTGATGTATTTTAATCAAGTTGATTTAGTAATCTTACTAATAATATAAATGCGAAAGTTTAGATGGATGGATGGATGTTAGAGTTTGTAGCATAAACGGCTGAACGGATTTCGATGAATATGTTTTTAATTCGACACGTACGAAGTCGTGGGCGAAAACTAGTGTTGAAATATGCAAGAATATAAATACTTAATAATTTCAATATTACAATTTACCTATTTTAGTAAGTTATATAAGAAAATGCTACTGAAATAAAGATGTAAAATGCATATTTGACTATTTTTCTTGCATTTAGATGTTAAAATATTCAATTTAAACAAGTATAAATAAGTCCCAATATAAGATCTCTTAAGCAATAACTTGTGCCTGTAGATTTAAGGCTAAATTAACTTTTATCCTTTTATATTTTTTTCGGACTATATCTTACTAATATAATAAATGCGAAAGTTTAGATGGATGGATGTTTGTTAGAGTTTGTAGCCTAAACGGCTTAATGGATCTCGATGAAATTTGGAATAGATGTAGAGGATAGTCTGGAAGAACACAGGCTACTCAATTTT